GGTGGACGTGTTCGGCCGCCTGGCCACCTCAAGTTCCATTTTCCCATCATCACTCATGAACAAGATCCTGGGATACTTAAACTTCCTCTTTGGAATCGCTCTTCGTCTGGTCCCTCCCCCAGAACCAGTGTGCCTTGGGAGACCCAACCAGGGGCTGATGCCCCAGACAACATGGCTGCCGGGATCACAGGGACACTCAAACCCCTCCACCGCGTTAAGGTGGCGATTCATCGGGGGGTGGAAAGGAAAGGACAGGAAAGTAGGAAAGGACAGAGCGTGAGATTAGCAGACGTAAGGGTCGACTGATGTGAATGTTGTAGGACAATGTCAACATTCTTTGTTTTTTGATTGATCGATAGGTCGACAACCAACATTTAGAACCGGGCTGATAATTTGGTCGATGCCCAGGTCCGATGTCGACATATTTTTCTTTTTGGTTAGTTGATAGGTTGATAAGCGACATGTTGAACCAGCTGGTGATCGGCCGACCCTGAGGTAGAAGGATAGGGCAGCAGTAGTAGAAGGGCTGAGGGCAGTGGGAGGGTTCGGGAAAAGGGAAGAGGACAGGAACGGGATCCAGAGACAGGACGAGGCTGAAGAGCCTCCAGAGCAGAGGACGGAGGAAGAAGTGGGGACCTTGAGGTGTTGCCAGCCTTTAACCCTTTGATGCACAACATGGTTCCAAATGGATCCAACAGAGTTTTTTTGTGCTATATCTTAACAATAAATTAATTTTATCATTCAGTATTCCAGGTATTCCTCAATTAACTTGTTTTTGATCCTAATAGGTATGTGTATGTGTATGTGTATGTATGGAGGGTGGGACGGGTTCATTTTATTTTATAAATGCTTTGTTGTTTTTAAATGTTGTAAAGCACTTTGTGTTGTTGTTGCACATGAAAAGTGCTTTATAAATAAAATTTGATTGATTAATTGATTGATTGGTTGATAATACATCCTTCTTTCATTTCTTACTTTTTGAGAAAAACATTTTTTGTGTCACTACCCCTCTAATGCACAACATGGGCCCAAACGGACCCGCATTCATTCACGATGTTATTTCATGTATGGCTGAGTGTTTCTATGCTTTATCTCTGAAATTAATGTGTTTTATCATTTACTATTTCAAGTATTCAGTAAACATTCTTGTTTTTGTTGAGCACAGATCATTTTTATTTTTACTTTCTCACTTTATGAGCTAGCTTAGCTTTTGTATGTCTTCATCAAGTTTACACACATGGGTCAGAAATGAGCCACATGAAATGACCTCTGAAATGTTTACATGTTTGCAATTAGGCAAGTGTTTACTGTGGACAACTATTCACCCTCCACACAGTCCACAGATCAGCACAGCTCCCTTTGCACATCTGATATCTACAAGTCCTGTTTTATAGTTGTTCTAATCCGACCTAAGAAGACGTGATGATGTGACAGATAGTTGAGTATAATAACAACTGATCAGGTGTAAGTTACCTTGAGAATACGTACTTTACTTGTCAAACAGGGAAATATTATCAGTACCATTCGTACTGGGAGGCTGGGATGTGAAACCTGCCGAGAGCTGCCACACCAGAATCTATACTGATGTGCATTTGAAATGTTTTGTGCTTTTGATTTCCTGTATTCAGAGATTTTGCAGTTTGCTGCTTAAATGGTTGTAGAGATGCTGCACGAGGGACCAGGTGATGAAGATGAGGAGGCAACTGGTTCTGATTCTGAGTCTGA